TACAGCTTTCATCTCTAACATGTTTATATGGAGCTTGCTTTCTTGCTGATACCATAACCCTGATGCCGTCCGGTTGGCGAGATGAGCTCCCCAACCTTGGGCGCTGGCGTCTACATATAGATGGGTTTTGAATTCCTGCTCTTCTAAACAAATACCGTCGCAAACATTTCCTCCTGGTCCACCATAGTAGATGAGGTCTGAGGCGTTTGGTAGACTGAATGGTTGTAGGTCGTCGAGATGAGCATTGATGAAGACCTGTATTGGGCGTAACTGTAATCTGCCTGAGACTGTCATGTCTTGGGCTGATGTGAGAGACCCAACAAGCTCTGCCATTGTCGTGAGTGGTAGCGGAGAGAGTAGAAACTAGCGGAATGGTCTGTTGGATCTTGAGCCAACGGTCTCTCTAATCTGACGATACGGTTGTGATTAAGTGATAAATCGAATGCCTAGGAACTGCAGATCTTGCGATGGTACTAGGTCCGACTTGAGTAAGTTTACTAACCATCCTAGCTGTGTTAGTAGCTTTATGATGTAGTTTAACTGTAGTTTGAGGCGCTGTGGATCTTGATCTACTTGTATCCCGTCGTCGAGGTAGAACGCACGCGCATTAGCCCTAGGCGATGTAGATAGGTGACAATAGGTTTAGTTATCCTCGTGAATAGCCAGGGGCTGATGATATGCCGAATGGGAGTACTTTCCATTGGTAATGTAGCCCGTCTAGTGTAAATCTTAGATATTTCCTGGATTAGGGATGTATCGGGATATGTAGATATCGTCTTGCAGATCTATACTGGCCATGTAATCCATGGGGTGAATCAACTGCCGTAACTGAGGGAAGGTGTATCATGCGAAACTTTGGTGGTTTGCGTGAGATAATTCCTGTTGAAAAAGCTCATGTTGTAAATGAGTCTGTATTTCTCCTTGGAGTTTTTCTTGGGTACTAGGAAAACTGGGGAGTAGAAGCCTGGTTAGATGTTTACTTGATCTAGTACTTCTATGGCCTGCTTGGTTATGAGTGATGTAACCGCCTCTCTTAACTTTGGTAGTTGTTGTGCCTGTAAGTCGAACTTGTAAGGGTTGACTGTCAGCGGGCGTGGCCTGTAGTGGGATCTGAAATCCGTGTTGAAGAATGTTGGAGACATAAGGGTCTTGTAACATTCCCCAGTTCTCCCAGTGTAGTTGAGGCGTCCACCCACTTGTGGCGGTTGTACTGGAACGGCTAGGGGTGGAAGACTCCAGTCGTTCCGAACCTGTCTTTCAGCGTTTATAGTTGCGGGAACCTCTGGGTGTCCTGCCTCTTCCTGACTCTCCTCTATAGTTGCCATATGGGCGATGAAAAGAATCTTTTCCCCTGGCGCTGGCTATCTTCCTATCCCGTGCTTTCTGTAGTCCCGAGAACTTAGATCTCCCTGAGTATCTTTGTGAAGTCTGCCTGATGACGCTGGCTAGCGTGTCCATCGACTTGATCATAAGGACTTCTCTGGAGTCCTTAGTGACTTCCTTGGAGACTTTGTCTATTCCTCCGTCAAAGATGTTTGGGGATGACCACGGGGCTGTATAGAGTGGGGCTGTATAGAGTGGAGCTGTAAAGTTCTCACCCCAGCTGCAGGAAGCGAGGAGGCCTTGACGACGAGCTAAGGTCAGTGCTGCTGAGACAGATGTTAGATGATCTGTAAGGAACTGCTGGTCCTTCTTTTGCATCAGTAGGGCCGAGTAGATCATCCTATCATCTTCAGAGGTCGTATTACGAAATCTGGTGATAAGTGTCTCATTGATCGTTCTAGATCTATTTAGGCCAAAAAACATGCGTCTCGTCATGTTTTCTATCTGCACCAGCTTGCGATCGTCAATCTTGTAGTTCTTGTTCTTAACATCGCTGATCAGCTTGTAGTTGTCATCGATGTCTTGTGCCTTCAGGAAGGGGTCCATGTTGTGCGTGGAGAACTTCTTAGCGTGAAAGTTCGGCAGATGTGGTGTCTGCACTTTCGTAGCTTTAATGAAGGCTGTATCTAGATTATGTGGCACCGCAGCAATCGGGTCGATCGGAGGTAAGGTGATGGCGTCTGCATCGTCTTCCTTCATCAGGTATGTCTGCGCTGAGTTGCCACTCTTGGACGGTGAAGATAAATCTAGGTTGTTTACCATCCAATATCTTATCTCAGCGTCTGAGAAGATGATGCCTCCATCATCTTCTGTACCAGCATCGGAGATGAGAGGTTGATGTTCTTCTGATGGAGACCTGTGGGCTGCTATCTCTATGTCGGGTGACACTCGGGGAGACCTGACTGTAGACCTGTGTGCCGACTTGTGTGGTGACCTGCGAAGTGATGTACGTGGAGATCGGCGTGGTGAATGGCGTGGAGATCGTCTAGGTGATCTGCATCTATGGGAAGACCTAGATCTGCGAGGAGAATGTTGACGGCCGTGAAGCTCTTGAATAGTCCCTCGGCGTCCTTCTGGGCGATGGCGATCTGTGTGGCGGCCTTCGTGCAGCTTCCTCTGCGTCGGACCTGGGGGCGGCGCCTTGACTTCCGTGGCGGTTTCCGTGGCGCCTGGTGGTCTGAGTCTGCATCTGAGGATGAGGCCGGGGACGGTGGCGATCTCTCCGTCTTCGCGAAGGCTTTGCGAAGACTGTACATCAAGCGCCCTTCGTCGAGGTGGTCTGTGACTTCCTTCGAAGGCTGCTTCGTCGTGGCTGCTACGCTGACTGGTGGTGCCTCTGGGGGTATCGTCTGCGTTGCTTTCGGGCCCTGGGCTGGCTGCTTTCCTCGACTGTAGTGGCCCTCCATCATGGTCATGATCTGCCGCAACAGCTCGTCTGGGATGGTCTGCGGCGAAGTAGTCGGTGCCCTCTCTGCGATGACAGCTGCTGAGCCCTCAGGAAGTCGTCTGACATCAGTGTAGAGGCATCAGGCTGCATGGCGATCTCTGCTGATGTCACTGTAGCTGTCACCGGTCGCTTCTTGTGGCGTGACGTCAGGGATGATGATCGGCTGATCATCGAGAGGCCCAGTTCGGGCGGCTGGAGCGATCTCGGCTGAGAAAGTTCTTGGCGATTTCGTAGACTTCCCCTTGGATGTCGACGCTGCCCTGGGGTCGAAGTCTGCGTTGGGAAGCCGTCGTGGCCCTCTTGGACTTTAGTTCTGCGATGGACGGGGCGTCTGGGGAGGCAGGACGCTTCTTAGAGGTGGCGGACTGCATCCCCACGCCCATCTTCGACGGAGTCTCTTGCGAAACACCAGACGGGAGGGGTCTATCGACAGCAGCTGACTGGAAGGGAAACCGATGTATCGGCCATGTCTAACCCTTGTTTGCATGGACCTATCTGCGATACGTCTCCACGACGCAAAGATATTTATGAAAAGCAGAATGGATAGATTAATGCAGTAACTGCAGCGTGTATCAAACGCACAAGGCGAAAGCACAACTAGGGCATAATACATGCGGGTCAGCAACCGAAAAGCGTAAATTGCAAATAATAGTACAGATTTTCATCAATGTAAATACTAGCTGAACAATCACGAACTCAATGAATAAACAGTAGAAATAACGATTAATTATCAATGCAAATTAATGAAGGATACTAGCTATACCTCTATAGTAACCTATAAGAGGTAATAAACTCAGAAAAACCAAAGGATATAGTGTGTAAGGAGACACAGGCGCTCTCACATCCTGCTCACTGGGCGAAGAAGGAGAGAGTGAAGCATGAGGCCAGAGGGTGGCGACACCTGTTCCCGCCAAAAGGGCAAGGGAGGCAACTCTTGGTGAGTACCAATTAGTGATTTTACATTGAAGGGAGCTTCAATTAAGGAGATACAAGTGTTCCACTATGTTCGCAAGAAGAAGAAGACAAGCAAAAGAGCATGAGTCAGGATAAGGAAAAATAATATTTTATCCAGAAATCCAAAACTACCATAAGGCACCAAATTCACAATCAGACCTATATATCTGCCAAGTTTGGTGAAGAAACATTGCACGGTTTTAAAGTTCTGCTCCGGAAAAAAGTACAAAGACCAATTTTAGTCAAAGTCAAACTTGTTGCCAAGGAAACGAAAAAAACATTTTATTCAGAAATCCGAAATTACCAAAAGGCACCACTTCACCACCAAATCTATCTACAGGGTTCATACGGCCAAGAGCCCATGAGATTCAAGGGCTTTTCATGGACCTATGTGTTATGTCCATGTATTACCAGACCTATCTATGTGCCAAATGTGGTGAAGAAATATAGAATGGTTTTTAGTTCTGCTCCGTAAAAGACGAATTTGCATGGATGGACGAACAGAGTCCAACATAATACCCCCTACAAAACGCATACAAAAATACTGCAAAAAGACTTTGTAGGTAACCTTATTCATGAAGAAATAAAGGTGACCATATTGAAAGATATTGAACAGTTTTCGAGTTGTGCTCTGGAAATGAAGCCTACCCCTCCCTTTAGAAATTAAGTCCAAAATGTTTCCATGGAAACCGAGAAAATTAAAAATGCCAAAAATCTGCATGTAGCAAAAGGCATCACTTTAGGTTCTGTTTGATAAATCTACCAATTGTTCTTGAAAAATATCTAACGTTTTTTGAGTTATGCTAAACAGAGAAACAAGAGTCATCAGAAGATGACATATCCCCCTGGCCCCCACATATTTGAAAGAACAAATCATCTGACAGTTACTTAAAGTTAAAATTATTATGGACGGATGGATGGACGGACAGACAGGGCGTCGACTATATCCCGCGTATTACATGCTGGGGGGGAAAAAAATGTAGTAACACAAGAAAAAAATAGTAGCCTTATTAAATATTAAAATCTGTTCAAAATTGTATCACCTTATTTCACATATCACGTACTTGCTGCTAAGACAAAATTTCAAAATGTCAGCAAACAGGCAAAACTTACATTTTTAATGTAGCTACGATGAATGACTTGACTGTAACTCAAAATGGTTATAAGAGGTATTTTTACGGGTATAATTCATAATTTCAAAAACACCAGGGATTACCTTGTAAGTTGGTGAGTGCATCCAATCCTGTAGGGAAATTGGCTAGAGTCCTCTGTGTATTCTTCATGTGCAATGTCTGAAGGGATGTTAGTGCTGGTAGTTGCCTGTAACATCACACCAGGTAATAATCACCACATATCAACACTTACATTTCAGTGTAAAATAGTCATCAATATCCCCTGACAGAGTACAAGATCAAATATTGTGAAATGGCACTGTACCTGGACTATTTACTTGGATATATTGTGAGAAGTTTAACATATTAACAAAGGCACCAGTTCAAGAAAAGCTGTTGTCAGCATTGCTATTCAAATATTTTCTGCATAAATACCGAGGAAAAACTAAAGTTCTGTCAGAAATGCTAGAAAATTAGCCTTAATATCTTTAGAAAGGTGATAAATGTATTATGTTGTCAATATATCAACTCACCTATAGTGTACCTAATTTTTATTTCAATTGATTCAACATTCCCATGCATTTAAAGGGCAGTTTACAGGAGAGAATTTGGTACCAAAACAACAACTTAAGATTTTTTCAGAGTTCAACAACAGAAATCTGAAATAGTCTTTACATTTATGCTAATAATACAGGTGGTGTAAAAATATAAATTAACGCTTTTCTTAAACAAATAAATGTTGAATGTTTGTGTTACTTTACTTAATTATCGTTTCTTTATTGAAAAAATATAAATATAAATGTTTAGTCTTGATAGATATGGCCATTATGGCCAACTATTTGCAGATGATTGTTGCAAAGGTTTATAAGTTTTTTGTGCTTGAAAAAGTCAGAGGTAAACCTTTCATTAGTATAGAAATGGTTTATTACAGAACTTGTAGAGCTGTTGGTATGTCTTACCAACAAGTTTACAATGTTATTAACAAATCCGACAAGACAGGGACGTAAAACCGGGACGTAAAACCATCCTTGACAACTTTGACAAGAGAGTACTTAGATGGGCGGTCTACAAACTTTAGGAGAAGAAGAATATATATATTCTAAAGAAGCTACACCAGTGACTTCGTTAAATCTTTGGCCAATGTTCACAACTAGATTAAACTGACCGAATTACATCCATATTTTTGCAATGAAATATACTGTTGACATGCAAAACATTTATTAAAACGTTGCACAATTCTACAATAAAACGATAAGATAACACAAGTGATAGGATTCTTTCCAATGTACAGTAATTTGTATGTTTATTTCACAACAAACACACATACACAAATGATCCCTTACATAATCAATACGTATACTATATGTACACATATTCAACATTTTGAAGAAAACATCTATTGAGATGACCCCTCACCCGAGCGTGTGCTCAGGCGTCAATTTCACCTGTCGATACCGTGCATGCTGATGACGTAACACAGGCAGTTAATGTTTGTATCAAATAACGTCCCACTACCCCTTATTTTTCCAAGTTTTTGGTATTTTCATCAGTAAAAACGCATTTTAGGGCATGTCTCAAAATGTATTCCCTCGGTCTAGATTAGGTAGATGTTTCTTAAAGTGATATTTGTTATTTAAGTAACTGTAATACCTATGAATTTTAAATATAAGTCAAGAAGCATTTTTCTAGCATTTCCGACAGTACTTTAACACTAAAATCTAATGATTTCAAGAAAATTATAAAAATGTGAATATTTTGTTATATTTGTACACTAATCTTGGAGATCCTATTCTCTACATACTAAGACCATGAAAACAAATGATATGGTTCTGATAACATCAAACCCAAACATAGGTAGGACAGTTAGTGATTCTTTCTTTTTGATACAATTTACAGTACGTAAATAAATTATGCTGTTTTGTCCATTATTTACAAAAGGAAACAGTGGTGAATGAAAACCTTGTTAGATTTAAACTTAAATTTTAGAGATAATGACAAAGCTTTTACAAACTGTGTACACCTTTAACTGTCTCACCTGACCTGGGCATGTATAAGTGGAGAACTGAAACTGTCTCACCTGACCTGGGCATGTATAAGTGGAGAACTGAAACTGTCTCACCTGACCTGGGCATGTATAAGTGGAGAACTGAAACTGTCTCACCTGACCTGGGCATGTATGAGTGGAGAACTGAAACTGTCTCACCTGACCTGGGCATGTATAAGTGGAGAACTGAAACTGTCTCACCTGACGTGGGCATGTATGAGTGGAGAACTGAAACTGTCTCACCTGACCTGGGCATGTATGAGTGGAGAACTGAAACTGTCTCACCTGACCTGGGCATGTATGAGTGGAGAACTGAAACTGTCTCACCTGACCTGGGCATGTATAAGTGGAGAACTGAAACTGTCTCACCTGACCTGGGCATGTATAAGTGGAGAACTGAAACTGTCTCACCTGACCTGGGCATGTATAAGTGGAGAACTGAAACTGTCTCACCTGACCTGGGCATGTATGAGTGGAGAACTGAAACTGTCTCACCTGACCTGGGCATGTATAAGTGGAGAACTGAAACTGTCTCACCTGACCTGGGCATGCATAAGTGGAGAACTGAAACTGTCTCACCTGACCTGGGCATGTATGAGTGGAGAACTGAAACTGTCTCACCTGACCTGGGCATGTATAAGTGGAGAACTGAAACTGTCTCACCTGACTTGGGCATGTATGAGTGGAGAACTGAAACTGTCTCACCTGACCTGGGCATGTATGAGTGGAGAACTGAAACTGTCTCACCTGACCTGGGCATGTATAAGTGGAGAACTGAAACTGTCTCACCAGACTTGGGCATGTATGAGTGGAGAACTGAAACTGTCTCACCTGACCTGGGCATGTATGAGTGGAGAACTGAAACTGTCTCACCTGACCTGGGCATGTATAAGTGGAGAACTGAAACTGTCTCACCTGACCTGGGCATGTATGAGTGGAGAACTGAAACTGTCTCACCTGACTTGGGCATGTATGAGTAGATTGTTTTCATTGTCTCACCTGAGCTGGGCATGTATGAGTGGATTGTTTTCATTGTCTCACCTGAGCTGGGCATGTATGAGTGGATTGTTGTTCAAGATGAGAGTCTGGAGACTTGTGAGTCGTCTCAACTGTGGGGGCAGCGTCTCTGCAAAGGTACACTCCCTATCTAGTCATGACTTGAGGTTGTCCACAGTTTAGTGACTGATCAATCAATTGTCTCACGTAACTGTGTATATGTATATCAATATGTCAGTGGAAACATAGAACATAAAAGATTCACACTAATGCCACATTCCACTACCGAGAGTCTCAACTAAAATGGAGAAGAAAAACTGTTAATGATACTTCAGCTAATACATATGTTCTATACATGAGACAAATGTTGCATCTCCCTAATTGCCTGGATGAAGTGAAAGCACAGTATCTTGTTTGTTCAGGAACTGCTCAGATGAAAATTAATTCTTCCCAATATCTGGACTTATTTCATATTATCTACCTAAGGTATCAAGCCAGATATATTATATGACAGATCTTTGACAACATGAACAATAAATAAGCTAATGTTACATAAAACAGAGCTTACCCAAAACATTGTCACTTAGATCTACGAAGAATAAATCCAATAAATTGATAAACAGTTGATTGGGCAACATCTCAATCCTGAAATTTAAAGAAAACCACATCAATTCAAATTTCTATATTAAAGTTTCAAAAGTCACAGTCTAGAAGAAATACACATAATAAAGGAAATGTTGTGTGTGAATTAAAAAAGATCGGCAACATTACTACTGAATATGCTAAACTCTACCGACAAAACACTGAAAGCAGTCAGCATCCTTCCCATCTTCACTGAGTTTCGTTGGTTTGTTGTTTAACGCCACATTCAGCAATATTCCAGCCATATGACAGCAGTCTGTAAATAATCGAGTCTGGACCAGACAATCCAGTGATCTCAATCAGGAGCATCAATCTTTGCAGTTGGGATATGATGATATGTGTCAACCAAGTCAGTGAGCCTGACCACCCCATCCCGTCAGTTGCCTCTTACGGCAAGTACGTGTTGCTGAAGACCAATTATAACCCGGATATTCACAGGTATCTGCTCTGAGTTGACCAACATATAAATGATGGGCTGTATCAAGATGTTGAGGCACTCTCAAAGTAGATTTGTTGGAACTAGGTCAAAGTGACAGGATTTTGCCTGTTACACATTGATGACCTTGCAAATTTCTTGCTTGGTGGATGACCTATTGTCTACGTCTCGGCTAGAAATCACTCAAGACTGCCTCAGAGGCCACCTCATGTCAGACATCTGACAGTGCAGACATTCAGATCTGACAATGATATCGAGGAAAAAGGAAATATTTCATTAGGTTGACAGTTGATTTTTGGTGATGAAGTCCAATCTGAGACAAAGATGTGTCATGACACTGTTGTTAGAATTTGATAGTAGTGAGACCAATTACATGGACAAACCCCAGTGTCAAAGTCGGGCAGACACAAAGGGTTTGTAAGGAGCAGGTTGAGATTGAGGACTTCAAGTGACATGCAGGAACCAGAAACTTTTGCTGCTGATCTTATTTTGGCAACTGAAAGTAGTAGTGATGCAGGTCTCATGTAATTACCTCTGGGTAAATCCTATGAGCATGAGTATGGTGCTGACAAACATAATTGTGAAGAGCAAGATTCAAACCCAAGGGACAGTGAATTGCAGCTTCATACATGTCTGATGCACCTGTGCACCCACTATCCTTGAGATGACAAGAAATATATTCTGGTAAGTAGCTGAGAAAATCAGGAATCTGGTGGAGCTTAGCAGATGGTATACAGGTAGCTGAGGAAATCAGGAATCTGGTGGAGCTTAGCAGACGGTACACAGGTAGCTGAGGAAATCAGCAATTTAATGAAGGTTAGCAGAAAGCACAGACGAGATGTTGGTGGCACAGTATTTCTCGAACAAAGACCACTTATCATCATGCAGTTGTCTCACAGGGGATGGATGACCATAGCTGTCTGGGCCGACAAAACCATTGGGATTTGTACAAATGCATCAGAATGCAGACAGAACGAGTCTTGGGCAGGTTAACACGGTTCAGTGTGATGATAGGAAAACAAAGCCATGCCATCTAGGACGGTGTCAGATAAACTAAAGCAGTTGCTGTCTTTAAGTTTTCTAAATCTTCAAGAAGATGGGAGACATAAACGCTGCCAGAGAGAAGGTGTACACATCCAGGTCCTTCCGTGGTATGAAAATCCCTGGTGGTTGATTTGCCACATCACTGTGGTATTGTCTGTTGTAATCATGTGGCACAAATTCCGAAGGAGCAACATCCTGTGAGGTATCATCAGAACAACTGCCTTGAGTGTACGGTTATTAATCTGTCATAAATGCTGGTCATCTGACCACAGTCACTCTGCATGCTGAGATGGGCACTCCAGCCCTGATGACGTATGTCCACTTAGTCGGTGAATGGTCATCATGGAGACTTCACATGATATAAGATGCCTGATGACATATGCCTACGTAGTCGGTGAATGGTCATCATGGAGACATCACATGATATAAGATGCCTGATGACATATGCCTACGTAGTCGGTGAATGGTCATCATGGAGACATCACATGATATAAGATGCCTGATGACATATGTCCACGTAGTCGGTGAATGGTCATCATGGAGACATCACATGATATAAGATGCCTGATGACATATGTCCACGTAGTCGGTGAATGGTCATCATGGAGACATCACATGATATAAGATGCCTGATGACATATGTCCACGTAGTCGGTGAATGGTCATCATGGAGACATCACATGATATAAGATGCCTGATGACATATGTCCACGTAGTCGGTGAATGGTCATCATGGAGACATCACATGATATAAGATGCCTGATGACATATGTCCACGTAGTCGGTGAATGGTCATCATGGAGACATCACATGATATAAGATGCCTGATGACATATGTCCACGTAGTCGGTGAATGGTCATCATGGAGACATCACATGATATAAGATGCCTGATGACATATGCCTACGTAGTCGGTGAATGGTCATCATGGAGACATCACCACAGGAGATAGATGCCTGATGACATATGTCCACGTAGTCGGTGAATGGTCACCATGGAGACATCACATGATATAAGATGCCTGATGACATATGCCTACGTAGTCGGTGAATGGTCATCATGGAGACATCACATGATATAAGATGCCTGATGACATATGCCTACGTAGTCGGTGAATGGTCATCATGGAGACATCACCACAGGAGATAGATGCCTGATGACATATGTCCATGTAGTCGGTGAATGGTCATCATGGAGACATCACCACAGGAGATAGATGCCTGATGACATATGTCCACGTCAAGTCGGACATCACATGAATGGTCATCATGGAGACATCACATGATATAAGATGCCTGATGACATATGCCCACATTAGTCGGTGAATGGTCATCATGGAGACATCACCACAGGAGATAGATGCCTGATGACATATGTCCATTAGTCGGTGAATGGTCATCATGGAGACATCACATGATATAAGATGCCTGATGACATATGTCCACGTAGTCGGTGAATGGTCATCATGGAGACATCACATGATATAAGATGCCTGATGACATATGTCCATGTAGTCGGTGAATGGTCATCATGGAGACATCACCACAGGAGATAGATGCCTGATGACATATGTCCATGTAGTCGGTGAATGGTCATCATGGAGACATCACCACAGGAGATAGATGCCTGAGATCACCAGCTAAGGATGGAAGAATGTGGGTCCCATAGCAATAAAGTCGTTGAAATGTAGAGCAAAAACCAAATGAGACAAGAATGAAGGCTTGGTGAAGGCCTGTGTGGGTCATGGATGGACAAATTGGAAGTACTATGTACCATGTTCAAGCACCAAACAAGGGCCATAATTACCCAGAACCCAAACATGAACTTATGACAAGGTGTTCAAACTAGATCAACATGTTCATCCTCACTTCTGTTTACAAAATATTGTCATGAACGGAAAAAGCCCAAATCTACAACCCTACTCAACTTCATCGAGGGTAAAGCAAAAGTATGAGAACATCATACAGCAATACAACTATCAATGGGAGTATGACTATGAGCTAACTTACTCATTATGTGCAACATTAAGAACAAGCACGGATTTTGCATTTTCCAGATCTGGTGGGACCTCTTTCAGTTTGTTGTGACTCAAGTCCTGAAAGTGAAAACAGTAATATTTAACAATAACATGTTTTCCAGTTATCATTGATACAGTGTAAAACTAGACATCAAGATCACTGGATGAATTTTCACATTACTTCTGCAAAACCATATCTGACAGAATGGCTCAATTCAAAGCCTTTTGGACATTTCCTACCCTGTCTGGAATAAACAACACATCTGCCACCTACACATGGCACCTCTCAAAATACAACCACCTGCAATCTCCTTATGGACATTCTGTGTGTTAAGTAGGGAGGGCACCTCTATGAGGTGGGAAAATATCACAGGCTTTGAAGGAATGGTTGCTGCCACACACATTAAAGATACTGTAGTCTAAGGAGAGTATCCCCAGTCATAAAACCACATAAAATGAGCATACCTATAAGGCATCTGACCAATCAGCAACAGCTGTATTAAATGGTCTAAATGCACAAGCAAACTGCAAAACAGTTTGCAACTCATTGGAGTTATTTCTTTGACTGTCTGTAAACTGATCTGGACGTTGGTCCGTCTGTAAACTGATCTGGATGTTGGTCCGTCAGTAAACTGATCTGGGCGTTGGTCCGTCAGTAAACTGATCTGGACGTTGGTCCATCAGTAAACTGATCTGGACGTTGGTCCGTCTGTAACCTGATCTGGATGTTGGTCCGTCAGTAAACTGATCTGGATGTTGGTCCGTCAGCAAACTGATCTGGACGTTGGTCCGTCAGTAAACTGATCTGGACGTTGGTCCATCAGTAAACTGATCTGGACGTTGGTCCGTCTGTAAACTGATCTGGACGTTGGTCCGTCTGTAACCTGATCTGGATGTTGGTCCCTGTCAGTAAACTGATCTGGATGTTGGTCCCTGTCAGTAAACTGATCTGGATGTTGGGCCGTCACTAAACTGATCTGGATGTTGGTCTGTCAGTAAACTGATCTGGATGTTGGTCCCTGTCAGTAAACTGATCTGGATGTTGGACCGTCACTAAACTGATCTGGATGTTGGTCCCTGTCAGTAAACTGATCTGGATGTTGGTCCCTGTCAGTAAACTGATCAGGATGTTGGTCCCTGTCAGTAAAGTGATCTGGATGTTGGTCCGTCAGTTAACTGATCTGGATGTTGGTCCGTCAGTAAACTGATCTGGATGTTGGTCCGTCAGTTAACTGATCTGGATGTTGGTCCATCAGTAAACTGATCTGGATGTTGGTCCTAATCCAGTCTGGATGTTGGTCCTGTAACCTGATCTGGACGTCCAGTAAACTGATCTGGATGTTGGTCTGTCAGTAAACTGATCTGATGTTGGTCCCTGTAACCTGATCTGGAGTAAACTGATCTGGATGTTGGTCCGTCAGTAAACTGATCCGGATGTTGGATCTGTCAGTAAACTGATCTGGATGTTGGTCCTGATCTGGATGTTGGTCCGTCCAGTAAACTGATCTGGATGTTGGTCTGTCAGTAAACTGATCTGGATGTTGGTCCCTGTCAGTAAAACTGATCAGTAAACTGAGGATGTTGGTCCTGTCAGTAAACTGTCAGGATGTTGGTCCCTGTCAGTAAATTGATCTGGATGTTGGTCCGTCAGTTAACTGATCTGGATGTTGGTGCCTGTCAGTAAACTGATCTGGATGTTGGTCCCTGTCAGTAAACTGATCTAGATGTTGGTCCCTGTCAGTAAACTGATCTGGATGTTGGTCCCTGTCAGTAAACTGATCTGGATGTTGGTCCCTGTCAGTAAACTGATCTGGATGTTGGTCCGTCAGTAAACTGATCTGGATGTTGGTCCCTGTCTGTACACTGATCTGGAAGTTGGTCCGTCACTAAACTGATCTGGATGTTGGTCCCTGTCTGAAAACTGATCTGGATGTTGGCCCCTGTCAGTAAACTGATCTGGATGTTGGTCCGTCAGTAAACTGATCTAGATGTTGGTCACTGTCTGTAAACTGATCTGGATGTTGGTGCCTGTCAGTAAACTGATCTGGATGTTGGTCCTTGTCTGTAAACTGATCTGGATGTTGGTCCGTCAGTAAACTGATCTGGACGTTGGTACCTGTCAGTAAACTGATCTGTATGTTGGTCCGTCAGTAAACTGATCTGGATGTTGGTCCCTGTCAGTAAACTGATCTGGATGTTGGTCCGTCACTAAACTGATCTGGATGTTGGTCTGTCAGTAAACTGATCTGGATGTTGGTCCCTGTCAGTAAACTGATCAGGATGTTGGTCCCTGTCAGTAAATTGATCTGGATGTTGGTCCGTCAGTTAACTGATCTGGATGTTGGTCCGTCAGTAAACTGATCTGGGCGTTGATCCGTCAGTAAACTGATCTGGACGTTGGTCCGTCTGTAACCTGATCTGGATGTTGGTCCGTCAGTAAACTGATCTGGATGTTGGTCCGTCAGTAAACTGATCTGGACGTTGGTCCGTCAGTAAACTGATCTGGACGTTGGTCCATCAGTAAACTGATCTGGACGTTGGTCCGTCTGTAAACTGATCTGGACGTTGGTCCGTCTGTAACCTGATCTGGATGTTGGTCCATCAGTAAACTGATCTGGATGTTGGTCCCTGTCAGTAAACTGATCTGGATGTTGGTCCGTCAGTAAACTGATCTGGATGTTGGTCTGTCAGTAAACTGATCTAGATGTTGGTCCCTGTCAGTAAACTGATCTGGATGTTGGTCCCTGTCAGTAAATTCAAGCTGACTAGGTCAAATGTCATATGTGTACTGTGGTGGTTAACACTAGTAGTGTCGCAGACGGCCAAGAAAAGCACTGTTATGTCTATATTTTCATAGATGGAGACTCTTATCAATGATTAATCCCATGTTGACTTTGATAAATCTGTATTTGAGCCTGAGGAAATATTGGTTTGTCATGTCAGCCATGTGGGTTCGAGTATCATGTTTTCATGGTATTCAGGGTAAATTTGAAATTAATGTGAGCAGTCAAGATATTCAAATATTCAGAGATGTTTATTTGTATCAAAAATAATTCTTCATTACATAACATATTCTGAACCATGGAGAGTAACATTTCATCCTCAGTTCTACACTGAGACAGAACTTACACGTATCCGTGGACATAGTACAAAATAACAAGGGTGGAAATAACCCATTGCCCGACGTCTGAGTCCAGTGTTTTTTTCTGTCAGGCAAGCAAATTTGTATATCACACTGTACCGGTGTCCAGTTGGCTTTCCAATGTTAATTATGTTTTTTATTTAAAAAATCAACAAAAAAACGGCTGGTATAGTGGAAAAATTATCAGGGCAAGTGATTTTACATGTGCCACTGTACCAGAGTACACTAGCAGTCTTAAAGTTATTTCCACCCCTGCAAATAATACATTTCTAGGTTTTGTCCTCTACAGTAAAATGAGCAAGGTGTCTGCCAAAAATACTTGGTTAGCTGGAAGAGATTTGTTAGGGGGCTACATGAAGATATAACAAAGTTTCGCAGGAATCTGTCAGGTACAAGTCAGTTTATCAAAACTACAGCTAACACAGCAAGAAAACATGCTTCAGTTTATTTGGAGAATATAATAAAAACAAAATGTTTAAACCTGTCATTTAACATGTTAACTATCATGAATCCAAAGTATAGCCCTGTTGAATTAAGAGACGATCATGGCTAACAACAGAAGAAGGTATGATGCCATGGGGGTTGTGGTCACTTGTTTGTGTCTAACTGATACTTACCACAACAGACAGATCCTGCAAATTGAATAGACCTTGTGGAACCCCATCGTTGGTGATCTGATTGTGTCGACAGTTTAGCTTACTGAGAGACTTGAGGTTGGTCATTCCTGCACTCAATCTCTCAATGTTGTTATGAGCCAGCATGAGATCTTCCTGAGTAACAGAGGGCAGACACACATTTCATCGCAACAGATCAAACATGATTATTGAATTCTTTTCCTGACTCCCAAACCTGGTCTCTGAAAAGAGTTAGGCAACCACCTACTGGTTCATTACTTGAAGGGAAAGTGCTTCATGGAATACTGCCAATGGTCAAGTCTAGATCTAGTTCTTCTGATTAGTGCCCTGTGGAAATGGAGATCCTGTCTCTGTGTTTACCAAGATGATAATTACTCATACTAAAGTTTACTGTGTAAACTGTTAAATTGTACAAACGTGCATTCAGGTTTCAACATGTACTAGCATCTGACCAGATACTCTGATTTACCATCATACCAGTTTCTTGAGTTTCTCCACTTCCTTGGGGATCTCTGTGATTTGGGTTCTGGCTAGTCTCAGCCATCTTAGACTTGTCATATCCTCCACATTGTGTGGAAACTTTATAACCTGAGTAAACAAAACATTTCCACTGAAGTATCATTCATACCTGTCAAGGATATTATGCAACATTTTGAGCTATAAAACAGATTGTGCCTAACACTGCATTTCAACTAGATAAGTAATTTACAGACAAAAACATCCACTAAACAAAATAAGATAGTTTATACAAGAATCTTACAGAAGTTATCTTATCATAGAAAGAAATATACAGGCCGGTTCAGCTACAACATTTTGTCAGTTTCTGAGTAGATGCTTACACAGCCAAATATTCATTTGACATAAATGGAAAGTGTGATCAAAACACACGGGTAAAACAAAAACATCAAATAAAATATAGCATGTTTGTTGAGTGTCATTACCAACCAAACAGGAATGAAGAATGGGTCGATGTTATGTCACCATGGTAACCTGGAGACATTGTAACTGTGTCATACCACAAAGCGGATATTTAAAACAGACTTTTATGAATATCAGGCAGTTAGTTGTGAGCACTAAATGCTTCTAACAACTGATTTGAAATATGCATTGCACTTGAAGCTAATGTCTATAGAACAGTACTTCTTTTTCTAACGAAGTTTCAGATGTCGTCTACAGACATTTTGCTCTAAAATGTCTGCAGATGATGTGACAGAATAGAGACTTTATTGCATAATCTAAAACTGTGAAGGTTGTCTGTGTGATGCATATAAAATGTAAAGATGGTGTACATTTATGTCCCTGTGGCCTTCAGACTCAGAGACTCAGTGTTTCCTTATTATAGATCAAGAACCGACACAAATCACTGCACTCCATGACATTTACGCACGCTATATGAAGAGTTGCCTTGCATCACATAGACATTGTAAATAATCAGACAGTGGATTGTTTGTAAGATATAAAAACTTAAAAAGGTTGAAGGACCTTTTGCAGCTCTTCAAGTGTGATTAGTCAGTAGACAAAAAATGTTTCTGAAGTGTCAGTACTGACTGACTGAGTGAGTTTGGTTTTACGCCGTTTTTAGTAATATTCCAGCAATATCACGGCGGGGGACACCAGAAATGGGCTTCACAAATTGTACCCATGTGGGGAATCGAACCCGGGCCTTCGGCGTGACGAGCGAACGCTTTAACCACTAGGCTACCCCACCGCCCCGAAGTGTCAGTAAACCCATGAGGATAATCAATAAGGTTGTGGTAACTATACGTTTAATGCATGTAACACAAGTGCACAATGGAGAATACAGTGTCTAACTATGCCTGCAATCAACAATTCTTAGTAAACTTAATGGTCACATTGTTATTTTAATTTATCCTTGTGTTCTTGTGCACTACTATAAGTTCAGTTTCATAATGTTCAACCAGATTTTGTGCATGGGTTTAAGTCGTCTGGATTACCGATACTACAGAAATCCGTAGCTGAAGTGTACATAACGTATATCAATGCATCATTACAATTAAAATTGGCCGAATTGTCTTGGGAATCAATAACGATACGTATTTGTCAAATCGACCCTTTCGTCTACCTTAAAACGTTAGATGTAAGCTCTGGTTAAACATTAAATAAGTTAATAATATAAATATTTTTGGGGGCATACGTTGAAGTCATTTCTTGAGAAATCAACACCTCGAACAAACGGCAGCACTCCTGTGGCCGCCATCTTTCTTTCTAGCTGAGGGAAGTGACATCATGAATGCGGAAGTGAATTAACAAGAGGGCGTTTATGTGCGCTTCAGCAAACGCACACAGCGTTACTGTGCTAACGGAAAAAAGTAACTGTGCATAACATAAAATTGCATAACAATAGTTATTTGAAAAATAACCCTAAATAAACACGTAGCAAAGCACTTTTCATGAAATTTGATGTCAGGTATCGGCACGTGGCACGAGCACTGTGCACAACGAACCTACTCATTTTTTGCATGCTTCTTGACAGACGAAGTTCACACATCGGATATTGAAAATTGAAATCGAGCACGCTTGGGATGAAATGGGAAGAGATGTTTACGTCAAACCCAGAGTCAACCATTGACGTCAGCTGAATTGGGACAAGTAGGCTGAGAACATTAGACATGACATTGGAAAAAATTAGTAGAAAGCTGAATTTTTCAGGAAATCTTCAGAACATCATTGCCATGTGCAAGATACAAAGTTCTGCAAATTCTACCTTGTGGCATTTTCAAAATGTCCGCCAATTTCAAGATGGCTGCCAAAATCATTAAAATGATTATGCAAACAGATATTTTGTCAATAACTATGCCATGTGATATATCAGATGAAAGCTCATTTCACAGGGATTCTAAATATATTGATATCATGAGGTCTGCCCTACCTCAGTAGGTATTGCCAGTAGACATTCTTTAAATCACCGTCATATCGGTCATGCTGTACAATCCTCGCAACGCTTATGACCTGGCGCAATAAAACATGTTCCTGTGATGAGCTGGCAAAACTGTTGGTATTGTTGAAAGCACAAGCCACAAATGACATGGATCTTCACATGTTATATGGAAGGGCCCCTGTGCAGATGTACATCATTTCCGAAATACAGAAAACCATGCTCAATATCAGACTGCATCTGATGTTTGTTCATGCAATAACAGGCTGTGATACAGCATCAGCCATCTACAATCAGGGGAAAAAGAAAGCTCTTGCTCTATTCCAGGAGAGGTCCAACTGGGATTGCTTGGATGTTTTCTTTCAGTCTGGCAGTTCAAATGATATTGCACAAGTTGGATAGATGTTCACGCTTAGACTCTATGGAGCTGTGGACTCAACATCACTGGACGAACATCGCTACAACATGTACTTCATGTCCAAGATATTTTTATGGATTAAACTTCTTTTTAATTTCTCTCACGACGTTTCGAGACCATTCCAGGTCCCTTCATCAGGTCTGATGAAATGTCACCTTCACCTGATGAAGGGACCTGGAATGGTCTCGAAACGTCGTGAGAGAAATTAAAAAGAAGTTTAATCCATAAAAATATCTTGGACATCAATGTAAAACTTCTAAATGCCACTGAAAGACATGTACTTCATGACCATTCATGGAGTCTCTGTGTTCTCTTCAGGTTTCAAACTGATCGCCTGCCTGAACTGATCACTTCCCCCAACTTCAGCAGCCGCTGAATTTCACAGCTACCGAGTGTACCATACCGTTCAGCAATGGCAAAGGAATGAGCTTTCACCAACAGAGTGGGGATGGCAATTCAAGGATGGGGTCCTTGTTCCTATTGAGACAGATAGAGCAATTGCTCCAGAGTAAGTCTTGAATATGATATCTATTGGATGCAAGTTTGAGTGCAGGGGACGGTGCAGTTGTCGAAGAGCAGGAATTGAGTGCACATTGCTTTGCACTGGATGTCGAGGATTGCCAACCTGCCAAAATGTACTCTGTATTGAAGAATGATCATGAGATGTTGTGATTGACAAAAAGACCTTATGATACATCAATCAAAGACTGAAGATTGAAGTGAGTTTCAAAATTTACTAACTTAAAATGATGATATTGATATTTGCGCAAGTGATTTACCTTCAATGTGGTGACCACGGCTGTCTTGATTAACCAACCATGAGTAGCCATGTTGACGTCTGGTACCAAAAGCACAAGCATCAAATGTGTTGTAATCATGCCATAATTAATTGTCTTATGTATGTATGGTGTTAAAAGCAATGTATTTAGATTCCTTGTGAGAAGGGCTTTGTTTTAATGTTTCACAAGGTATGGTTAATTAAAAAGAAATATTTTCGTGAGACTATTTTGATTATTTTAAGGCCAATGGTGTCCATTTTGAAAAAGCCACAAGCCATGATATCAATATATTTAGAATCCCTGTGAGATGAGCTTTCATTTGATACATCACATTGGCGGACATATTGAAAATGCCACAAGGTAGAATTTGCAGAACTTTGTATTTTGCACATGGCAATGATGTTCTGAAGTTTTCCTGAAAAAATTAGCTCTGGCAGCTTTTTCAGTTTTGCCAGCTCATCACAGGAACATGTTTTATTTGGCGAGGTCACAAATTGCGAGGATTGTACAGCATGACCGATATGATGGTGATTTAAAGAATGTCTACTGGCAATACCTACTGAGTAGGGCAGACATCATGATATCAATATATTTAGAATCCCTGTGAGATGAGCTTTCATTTCATATATCACATGGCATAATTTGGACAAAATATCCGTTTGCATAATCATTTCAATGATTTTGGCAGCCATCTTGAAATTGGGGGACATTTTGAAAATGCCACAAGGTAGAATTTGCAGGTCTTTGTATTTTGCACACGTGGCAATGATGCTCTGAAGATTTCCTGAAAAATTCAGCTTTCTACTATATTTTTTTAATGTCATGTCTAATGTTCTCAGCCTACTTGTCCCAATTCAGCTGACGTCAATGGTTAACTCTGGGTTTGACTACAAACGTCTTCCCATTTCATCCCAAGCGTGCTCGATTTCAATTTTCCAATGTTACCTATTGTTTGTGTCTAATGCTCCTGGCCTAAAGGGTTGGTTCAGACATGGAACAAAAGTCCCCAAGCTTTCTTCAATCGCTTAGTGTCGTCTATGCAACGTTGTTGTCAAGGGCGTGTCACGATGCCTAGTGTGAAATCATACAGATTTCGATATTATTCCATCAACAGTTAAAACAGTGATTAAGGAAAACACCACAAATCAAGCTATTATCTTTTGCATTAAACAATGACACAGCATCAAATGATGCAGAGCTACTGTATTCCAGTAGTATATTTATTGCCTGTGGTTATTAAAAGTCAATTTACTGACATCGCAAATTAAATATTTAGAAATCAATATTCAGAAAATAATCAAGGGATCAGAAGAGAGGTATATATTAGGTGGCGGTGGGGGCGCGGTGGGGCGAACTGGCTACAGCGCCAGGCTACTCAGGGGGGAAGCCCTGCCCATGCTCAACCGGAAGTTGGTCGTCATCAACTACCATTTCCTCGATAGACAGTCGATCCCGGTAGAGAGTGAGTCCCAAACAGAAAAAGTCGCTCTTACTGTTAATGTAGCAGCAGTACACATCTGTGTAAAACATAAGAACTGATATCAGTATCTCCTTTCATTGCACGTTACCGACATCCAGACTTTGAGTTACCGACACCCTCGCTCGATTTTAAAAATGCTTATTCTTCAACACATAGACATTAATAAGCAAATTCAGTACATTCAATGTATTTCCACCATCAAAGTTTATCAGTGTGCTGAATAATTTTGATTGTATACACGTGGAAGACTGCTAATTCGAGGGAAATAATCGCCAAGCGATCATACCTGCCGCCATGTTGGGATGCTGGTAACGTGCATCACCTTAGGTACAGTCCAAATGCCCGAAATCGAGGCAGAACACAGTGGATTATACCCTTGTTCAATCTAGAAATATTCATAAATGGATTATAGTAGATTTTATTGTCTCTTTGTCGACTTACAAAATGCATTTGACTGTGTTAACATGAAACTTTAATGGCATACTATTGTGAAGATAGCTGTACCTGGTACACTATTTGATGTGCTGATAAACGCAAATTCAAAGGTTAAATCTTAAATCTTATGCGACAAACTTCTAACTGCCCCATTTCACAATATTATAACACTCATAGTGATGTAAAAGAAGTGTGTGCTTTGAATCCTCGATTGCTTTCCTGTAGAATGACAACATGACACTAGTTTCAGAATTAAAAGATATTTGATTCTGTTGCTGGTTCACAGAACAAAACGATGTCTGAACACTTGCTGAACTTGGACAAAGCTGCTATTTAATCTTTATAGAAATGGTGGTTCAGGTGAAATGGCAGTTTGATGCTTAGATGTAAAATATATGTAATTATTATTAAAATCACGAGTTGTTGTTGTATAATAGGTTGTGTTGAACTAACTCACTTCAACCTCAAGCAAAGTAAGTAGCATTGGCTGTAATGGAACGGAAATATGCTGTTTTCTGGATAATTTATTTCTTTTCGTTATTTTTCACGTTTCAGTTTTGAAGGTCTGACAGTTGACTAGCGATGTGACTGATTATTGGTCACATGTTGTTTGTTGGCGCTGTGTGTCTTATCGGAATACTATCTTGGATCCGTGTGAGAACTGACATTCAGCAATACATTCATGTAATATGCGACTATCGAGATCGGGCGGTCAGGCTAGCTGACTTGGTTAAGACATCATGGCATCCCAACTGCATATGTTCATCGTGACAAGCGATCACTGGACTGTCTGGTCCAAACACGATTATTCACAGACCGCCGTCATAGAGCTGGACTGTTGCCGAGTACGGCGTTAAACAACAAACTCGTACCTTTTACAGTGGTGATCTTCGGTAAACTAAACAGCTGAAAGAACAATCCCTGCCCATTATCATCAAGGTCAAAATACTTATCATTAGTAATCTAATTGCGACGAGGTCCTGATCGAGTAACCGCCTCCTTTTTGTATTGCTTTTGTACAGTACAACCAGAAATTATTGAAAATTAAAAGATTGTAATTTTTAAATTTTTCACTCATTACTCACGTATTAAATGTGAATATTAGCAGAACATAACTCCAGTTTCAAAGACAGGTGAACAGTTAGTATTTTGTCAAGTCACCATGGGCAGCAATGCAGGCTTCAATGCGGCGGGGCATACTACTGATCAAAGATGTTAGAAAGTCGTGGTCAATGCTGTCCCAATATCAGACCACCTCTTCTTTCATTTCAGCAATATTTGTCAGATTTTTCTTATTGACACTTGCCTTCATAAGTCCCCAAACATTTTCTATTGGATTTAGGTCAGGGCTATAGCTTGGCCAATCTAATAATGTCATATTTTGGGTCCGAAACCAGGCCTGTGAATGCTTTGAACGATGTTTTGGGTCGTTGTCCTGCTGGAAAATCCAAAACTTTCCATAGAACACGTGAGCAGACGGAAGTAAATGTCCTTAGAGAATATCTGTGTACCGCTCACTGTTCATATTCCCCTTCAAATACACAGACGGGCGTTGCCCCTAACACAGATATGCCACCCCACACATTAAATTTCGGACTGTACTTTGCACGCTGATACAAAGGTTTTACAGTTTGTTTGGTCCAGAATTTCAGTGTATTAGCCACACAGATCTTTCATCTGAGAAAATCACACTGTCCAAGTTAAAATTTCTATGCTGTAAGCACCAGTTCAACCTTCGCTCCTTTTGGTCAGGTTTCGTGATCGGTGATGGAATTCCTCGACTTTTCTGCCAACCCATTGCATGCAGCTCAGTTCTAATTGTCTCCTCACAGACAGCCACAGTTCCTCTATCAATCATATCCAGCCTTAAGTTTTCTAAACTCCTTAGTTTGTTTTTTAGAAACAAGAATACCAAGCCGCCTCCTGTCACCGACAGTCAATTTTCTGGGCCTACCTGCGCCTCCCTGGTGCTCAATGCCATATCCATTTGCAATAGTTTTCAAAACACTATAAACAGTTCACAAAGGGATGCCTGTTCTACTTGAAATCACTTTAGCTGATCTGATGTCCTTGTTATAACACTCTAAAATCAACTTCCTCTTCTCTAAATCATCCATACTGAGGATCACTGAAAATGTCGTCTGCTAGCAAGTAAACAAAGGGGAATAACTCTTCAGAAACTAATGTAAAAGGTATAAACGGAGTTGTCTCTCTTGAATGAAACCAAGCACTTGATCGCTGGTCAAGGTTGTTTATACTAGAAATCCAATTAAACATATTCCTAAAATTCTCAATTATTTCTGGTCATACTATATAGTGAGCGGCAGCTGATAGATAAATGCAACAAACCCTTTTTCCAAATCCATTCGAAATGCCAAAAGCAGCGTTGATTGTCTGGTTCCGACTCTATCAGGAACATGTGTTTATTAGTTTCAAATCATTGATGAAGCTACCAGGTGTTCGCGAAAGGACGTACCTTGTCCTACCTTAAACACTTGCATAAACGCATGCCAAGGCTGGTGAAATTTTCACAAAGCAAAACTCCTCCGGGAACATGTGGTTCAAACGAAAAAGAGTATTACCTCGGAATGTTTTGTCATTATCAAATTTGTAAATGTATTCAGCAACGTTTGATTTGTTTATTGTTTAACGCCGCATTCAGCAATATCTAAGCTACTAGTATATAGCGGCGGTCTGTAAATACTCGTGTCTGGACCAGACAATCCAGTGATCAACATCAGCTGCATCGATCTGCGCAATTGGGATACGACGACACGTGTCAACGAAGTCGTCGAGCCTGACCACCTCATCCTGTTAGTTGCCTCTTTTACGGGCGTTGGGGTAGCCTTGTGGTCGTGATATCTAAAACGGGCGTAAAACCAAACTCCCTCACACTCACACAATTGCCTCTTTACGACTTGCTTAAGACCAATTCTAATCGAGGCGTTGACCAAACAAATTGTGCAATGTAAACACAAAAGGCTGGAGCTGCTTAGATATTGTTGGACATAAAGGTATTATGGGAAAGCTGAACTTATCCCTCCTCATACAGTCTTGTGGACAGTTATTTTGTGTATTCATTTATTTATTTTTGTCACTTAAAAGCATATATCTACATATAAAAGAGACGAGGGTTGTCTCATAGGTCACCTACATCCTATATTCTAGTTCAGCAGGAATTTGGCTATTTGATTGTTATTGAACTGTATCACTTCATTGACATATGTCTTGGCTCAATTACCTTGTTTTGACTCTGCAAATTCAAGCATAAATTCTGAATCATATGCTAAAAGAAAACAGCATAACTGGTGTCCAACAGGATGCATATATTATATTTTTACGTTGCTATTGACGAAGTCCAGCATTTCATATATTTTTAGAAACTCATCTTTCATTTTTCAAAAACTGTCACAACGTTTAGCAATAAAAAGTTTTTCATTACGTTTCTTAGAGGAATAGTGGTGTAATAACTAAGTCTAATATTTTTGAGATTGCAAACAGTCAAGCAGATTTGAGATGAGAATCCACACGATATTAATTCTGCATATCTCAAATGCATTATGGGAATATATATACAGTATACTTATTGATAGGATTATGGTTCATCTTTCAAACTTGGATTTAGTGGTAATTTGTTGGACCCAGAAACGATCCAGCACAAAGAGGAATAGACACCTTTTTAGATATTATAGTCAAGCCCAAAGTTGTTAATACTTGTACATAATTATGGAAGATTTCTTAAAAGTTAACATGGTGCCATTGTGGCATTACTTGATATGTCACTTGTACCAAGTTCTTTGATGAAACAATTAATGTATTAATTAATGTGATGCTACCATATTTTGGTTATGTTATTTGAGGCTTTGTCAATAGGAAGAACTTTGTACTTGTAAAAGAGTTTGAAGTGTCCAAAATAGCTCTGTGGCTACAGAAAATGAAGTGGTTTAGTGTCACTTCCTGTTGACTGTCCTCACTATTGAGCAGGCTACCTCATTGTCTCTAAGTTGACTTCACACTCAAATGCAAGTACTAGTTTCCATCTCACAATTTGGCAATACATAGGTCAGGTCGCTGGACAGAATGGGTTTATTCCAATGCCATTTCCTGTTTTCTAACTGGTGCATTTTAACTAAATCCTTTCTGAAAGACAATCAACAGGTTCCTATTCACTTTCGACCTATTTTTTGTTTTGCAAGTGCTTCGCAAGGATCCATACCATTTTCAGTTATGATCTAAAGCATGTCAGTGGGTTCGAAAGCCCAGTTTAGCCATTTTGTTGCACAAGTTACATTTTCTCAGCGACATTTCTCATTGCTTCCGTTACTTTCTCATTATTTCAATTATTTGTTCTCACTTGAAATTGAGTACTTTTCTCAAATTTTGATACTTTTTTGTTACTTCACTCATTTCCTGTTTCTTTCAACATAAACTTTCAAGGTTTTGAAAGAAAATTGAAATCAGTAAATAATTTATGCCATTTTTTATCATTTCTTCCTGACGAATAGCATGCTGAATGTTGGGAATGCGCAAATTCTGGGTTCTCTTGAAAATATGAAGATTTTATGGTGTGTTGACAGCCAAAATGCATGATACATGGTGAAGATGTCATAGGGGTACTGTAGTAGCAAGAATTAGAAAATATGACACGACCTCATGAGGAGGCTTTGCCAGATCTTGACAGAGATCTGAGTTTGCCCATGTGGCTTCAGGGAGATGTTTTTAGCATGAACAACAATGAAGAATGTGAATTGCTGCCACTAGTAACATCAGGGTCCCGTTTCACAAGCTCTCATAGAGCTACCACAATCATAAGTCAATGTTACAGTATAGGAGGTACGAATGCTACGAGATAAGTTACGAGATCTTAGGCTTACGAGAGCTTTGTGAAACGGGGCCCATGTGGGCACAAGGGCTGCTGATTGTTGATCATCCTGTTGGGACTGAAAGTTATTGTGTGGTGTTTGTTTAATCATGTGGAATTCTGTTACAGATCATATACAGCTGTAATGTAACTGTACTCATTAAAAGATCCTTTTGTCATCCATTACATATCCACTGCGGAAAGAATTTGATGTAAACACACCACAGAACAAACGCTAATACATGTCATAGCAATGACATCATTTGGCTCTGAACAAAACAGTTTTTCATCATTCCTTGTTTGGTGCAATTCTGGTTGAATGAGGAACACATTGAACACAATATGAACGTGACTCATTGTAGTTAACCCAAACAAACTGAAAAACCATAAACACTTCCAATGTAATATATTTTATTAAATATACATAAAGAGGCAAATGTTGTATAAACAAATGTAACAAGTGTAATACTGATAAGGTAAAGCATACCAACAATGGTATGTGAAAGTTTCTGGTCAATACTTTTGTCTATGGTAAGCAGCGGAAGCTCAATGCACACAGGTCTTAAAACATGTTTCGACTGACAATCTGTCAAACACATTCAACCATATGCATGGATTTGTTTCACTTATCCGTAGGATAATAAAACATGAAGTCTATCCAAGTTAAGAGAATCTACCACTTGGTTTACTATGTTTCCAATGTTCTAAATGGTTGAGATATGATAATATATTTTCTTTCACTTCTACTAAGTACATATCCACCGGCCTTCATTGTACAATATATTACAGTTGGTACATTACACATTGGTGGTAACATTACACAGCATTCAATAGAAATGATACAGCTAAACCAAAACACAAGATAGAGCATGTTCATATACAATACACCACACTTCATATAAAATTCCATCAAACTGGTGGTTTACTTCAGCAAATCTGTGCAAAAAGATATACTTATGAGAAAAAGAAAATATTGAATATTTAGGGCCTGTATGAACTCATTCAATTATAACCAAGTATGAAAATTTTGCACAATCAAATGTCTTGCATCTTTCACCTTCTTGCAAAATATGAAACAAATCAAACATATTCATTTTCAGTAGCCATTTCAAACATATTAGAATGGAGAAAGATAAATGTGCTTGGAAAGATATACACCCAATGACTACAACAAAGGTGATGTGAAAAAGAGGGGGAAAGGGGAAGATTTCAATGAAAAATGGGACAATTTATTACAATATACATTAAAAAATGTCCTGACATTGTAATTCATAAAACTTGATGCTTCATTTGTTTATGTGATACAACTGAAGAGAGTGTTCATGTCCAGTCTTCCCTTTGACAAATTTGAGCCTGTACTCAAGGTTGTACTTATATAATATGTAAGAAGTTTTTTAGACAAAGTTCCATTGTCAACTTTCCCAGTGTGAATATGCAAACCAAAACCCCAAAACAATCAACAAAATGAAAAGAAAGTGCAAGTCAAGATGTAAGCACAGGAAATACACTTTCTTAACATCTGACACTGATTATTGCTTCCAATGAGAACATGCAAAGATATGACAAAAGGATTTAGGATTGAGGCAAACATGAAAATTTGAGAGATATTCTAAAGGGCAACATAGTCAATATTGTAAGATTATCCAGGAGAACAAACTTTTTGCCTGGTTGGAGTCTATTGATTTTTAGTACTGGCCTTATATTCATATTGAATTTAACCTTTGCATATTAATGTATCACTTGTCTATATATTTTATCTTATTTGGGCTGCTGAAATAATGACTAGATGAGTGAATATAGTTCCAGGCAAATATTTTGTTCATCTTCGCAGAAATCCACTGTACACAATAATAACAAGTGACAAACAAAGGTCCCATAAATACTCATTAGTACTCAAAACCTATATTGCAGCAGTACTCATATGAAATTTCAAGATGAATTAGTCTTTGCAGCTGAAGCTCGAAAAAATGAAGTGGTTACCTCCCGAAACTCAAGTTCTTTTTTCAAACTTGTCCAAGTACAGGGGAGAACAGGACCCTCTCGACTGTGATCATACTGACGTCTATTCCATTCCTTTCCAATCCATGAATGAACACTCCTAGATAATCATACAATATTGTTAAAGTCCTGTGTTTTATTAAAGGATTTTTTATGTGCCAACAAGTTGGCATGGTTAAGATGTTTTATACTTTGAAGTGCTGTTTTCGACATGGCAACTCAGGTACAGGCACTTTGAAGACTGGTTTGGGATGCAGAATTGGATATATCTTATCACTTGCTACATTTGAGAAGTTGACATGTTTATGACAATTATGCCCATTCCCACCTTGATTCCTGCAAACAAACAAAACAACATAACATTCATTCTGGCGTGCAGAAAGTTATCTGTATAATGCTCATAAATCAAAATAGTTAATATTGTCCAATTATGTTCCTGTTTGTTGTTTAAAAATATGCTTAATACTATTTCTATATACATCTAACACCTTATATGTGTACATGACTATGTACAGGACAAAACTCTGCTACACAATGAGAGCTAAACTCCTACCAAATTACAACTGAAAAATGTTCCTATAGTCAGGATTAGACAGTCACTAGTCGATAAGTCTGAACTGTTGAAAATCTAGAGACACTTTTACCCAAAAAGTTATTTTATCTTTTGTAAACCACTTGCTTGAAATGAGTGGTGCAAAAGTTGGATTTCACCAATCGTATTCCACTGTTGCCCTTGCCTAGACAGTCTCATGACAAAAACTGAAGTTTATGAGCTGCAAGCTAACTTTCAGAATGATGTGCGCAAAAAGCATGAGAGTGGTATTTACAAACCATCTGTTGGTTGGTACACTATTTAGGACCTGTTACTTTATTGTGCAGTATGTTTGTTCCAATAAAAAAGCATAATTGAAAATGAATGTTCTTTTCCTTAACATAAAAACAAAATACTAATTTCATGAAACAAAACTATTCAAGACCTGATGTCTTTCAGTGGCATTTAGAAGTTGTACATTGATGTCCAAGATATTTTTTATGGATTAAACTTCTTTTTTAATTTCTCTCACAACGTTTCGAGACCATTCCAGGTCCCTTCATCAGGTGAACTGGCAGTTAGGACTATGACGTCGTCACTATGACGTCATTACTGAGTTATGACGTCACAATGCAAGAGGATGTGTATACCAAATACCATGCAGCTGTGGCGATCAATATATTGGCGAGACTCTCAGGCCCATTAACACCCGGGTTGCTGAACACAAGTCATCAGTATGCAAACAAAATGATAAGTCAGCTATATCGGAGCACAAGGCAAATAACCCAAGTCATGTAATCATGTGGAATGATATTAGGGTGATTTCGAGAAATAACAATGACTGGCGTCGGAGAAAACTACAGGAAGCTGTTGAGATAAGGAGACATAAACCAGCAATTAATCGTGATCAAGGTGTATACCTGCCAAGTGCGTGGGACCTCTTGATTAACTTTTGATGAACTTTAGATGAACTTTAGATACAAGAAAAAACGAGTCTACTATTCTTTTTGGAAAGCCTGCTGTCAAGTAACCTTTGTGTAGTTAGCAGTTGTTGTGTATTGACAATTCAACTTTCAACTCTATTATTTAGCATGAATTTCATCATTATGTAACTAACTCACTTATACAGTACTCTCCCTAGTGTACTGTGATGTCACTTGCATTGTGACGTCATAACTCAGTAATGACGTCATAGTGACGACGTCATAGTCCTAACTGCCAGTTCACCTGATGAAGGGACCTGGAATGGTCTCGAAACGTTGTGAGAGAAATTAAAAAAGAAGTTTAATCCATAAAAAATATCTTGGATATTCAAGACCTGATAATTACTACAACAAAACATTTCCATTCTGAAATTGTACCACCTTTGTAAATAGAAAATGAGCTGAACTTTGTTCAACAGTTGTATAAACATATAGCTGATAAGACACTCCACACTTGTTAAACAAGAAAGGTAACACGGAAAAGGAAACAATGATCTTAAAATGCAGCTACTTGGTATGGAAGTCATATGGGTGAAAGATTTTATACACATGATCTCGCTGGATGGCAAGGATTGTGGGAGGTGGTAGATTGGGGACAGAATTTATCTCCAACCTATGCTTTCTATTCTGAGAAAAATCAAATCCTTTCCTTAAATTCTTTGCCAATAGAGATTCAGGATTTTGTCTGAAAAAGAATGACATTTTTATTTACACAATCAAGCTTAGTGTGGTCCAAACAAAACTAAGACAGTCCAAAAGCTTTAGATGTGTTCTTATCTGTACACGTAATCACAAAATTTTGAAGTGATTTGTCTATGTCAACCAAACATCCAATGTACTGAGCAAAAGGTGCAAAAGAACATACATGATAACACTATATGCAACATGAATTCACTAGTCAACTTGCAAACAATAACAAAAACTGATCATGACCAAAACAAGTTTTGAAACATCAAATCAAGGTAATCAAAGGATATTATATAACAAAACATGACTTTATTTTGGTGTTTGTCTTAACACTTGTACATGGAAGGGACCGTTAACTTTGTTCATAATATCATATTTATCTGACATGATGTTCATTCTCCTGTTGTTTTGGTTCACATTACAGGTGTAATCAGAGTTATCATTTCCAGGGTAAAGTAAGACGAAAGCCTCGTCACAATGGGGTGCTAACTCTTGGCGATTTCTATAGCGATTTTTTAACCCTTCTTCATTCACTCGAAACATGGGTAACTGACACCTGAAAGTTAGATATTACCAGTTATCTGATGTCTGGAAAAGATTTTACATAGCATAGTATATATAGTATTGGAAAGGTCCAACATCCAGTAGACTTCAGCAGTAAGTCTTGACACAGAAATGTGAGTGAGTGAGTGAATATAGTTTTACGCAGCTTTTAGCAATATTCCAGCTATATCACGGCGGGGGACACCAGAAATGGGCTTCACACAATGTACCCATGTTGGGAATCGAACCCGGTCTTCGGCATGATGAACGAACATTTTAACCATTAGGCTACCCCACCGCCCTTGACACAGAAGAATGCAATTACATCTTAAAATCCTTATGACAGTTCTATACACTTACCATATGTCTATCTTGGAGTGGTTTACTCACAAATGTTATCATTACATGCACAACAAATTGTGCGCATAAACACAGAAACTTTAATATATATATAAAAAAAATAATAATAATAATAATTTCATGTACAAATATGTGGCTAAAACTCATTAAGCATCAAATGGAACTTGTTATTTCATGCTTCTCCCCAATACAATGAAAAAGAAAATAACAACTATTTGTAGTTGATAGTGTTTAGTTGATGCAAGCACCAACGTGATGGCAGGTGCCTGGGTACATGATTTTGTGTATGGGATCAACATGTACAGGAGCACTTCCAGCAGATTTCAAAATTCGGTATTTAAAATTTGGGTCGTGGACCACCTCCCCAAACACCACACCTTCTTCTCTAGGCAAGCTTGACATGTACTGGTAAGAGCTGTTACTTGATCTAAAAACAGCAACACAAAATTTGTGTCAAATAGAAATAATAGACATAAGAAAGTATTAAAGTCTACTATTGAAATATGGGTCTGTTTTCTGTTAACCATTTTGACAAAAGTACTGCAAATTCAGAACCACCATTTTTACTTTTCCAGATTGTTTATATCATTATCTAACCTGACTATTACTGAGTATATCATTAAAAACAAAAATTCTTCAATTGGGTATCCTAATTTTCCTTTTAGTAATCAAATACATTGTACCCACCTCACATTTAACTCAATTGGGTATTTTGCCATTTTCAATTTATTGTAAAAATATAATAAAGTTTTTGGTTTACGGCTTTGTTATTTATATTTGATATGAGACACGATAAGAAAGACTGCAAGTTGCCAAGTTCATGTGCTGAAAAAGAAACTCTCAGCTATTTTATCTATCCTCTAATTCACAGGTACGCATGCTAAGATTTGACACTTTTGTGTGTACGCATACAGTGTTCACGAATAGCATCTGACCCTCTGACAAATCCGACAGATTCGCCAATGGTCAGACAGAAGTTTACAACCCGCCTGCCCCAGTGTCTGACTGTATATTTCACAATGACTTTGACTGAAGTTGTTTTATGTGACATGTGACACTTGTTTGCTGTTTATAAATCTTATGTTTGTTAATAATTTCAATGTCAATTATAAGAAATATTAAATCTGAAATGTGTGTTTAATTTTATTCCATGGGTCCTGAGCATTTTCAATGGGTCAGACAGACATCTGAAACTTACAGGACCCAATGTCCTGTGACTTTGAAACACCATTCGTGAACACTGCGCATGTAAGATCAAATATATTGAGTATTTATAACAATTCAAGCGTACTTGTACGCAATATACCTAATAGGAATTGAGTTTTCACATAAGTATTTGAGTAATTTACGCAGATTCGCAGCTCATCTGTACCTCTGTATATATGCTAAATATCGCACATTTATGGCCCTTAAGAATTGGAGATGAAGGTTTTTGAAGATTATATTTCACATCAAAGATGGCTACCTGGCCTTTGTATCAAAATTGACATTTTCACCACAGTAACTAACATAGATAAGGGTTGTCTATGAAGGCAATGTTACTGATTTGTATTAACATTTTTTTTTAGCTCATGGGTTTCACCATACCAAAAACATTCTACTTAATTTTCAATAATACACTGACCTATGGTATAACATGAAAAATATCTTTGAACACAATCACCTCAGATTTTATCAAGTACGATTATGGTATGTACTATACAGGAAACAGTTTAGATGTACAGCACATGGCCATATTATTACGTACACTTGTAACGGCGTTGATATCATGTATAGCGATGCCGTTTTTAAAATACTGCTACTCAAAAACGACACTGTGTATCGTGGTAATGTTTTGTCACATGATCGACCATGATGTCACATGTGGACGTGGATCCATCGAGAATGCTCTCAGAACAGGCCATATGAGAAAACTGATTCCTCAGCACAATTGACAACTTTTGAGGTTGGTCGGGGACAATAGGATTTCACCTTTGGGTGAAATAACTGAGAATTTGAACAACAATAGGGCTACATGTGTATAAGTGAGGATTGTAAGGAGACGATTATATGAAAATAAATTTCATAGACGTGTTGTTTGAGAGAAATCCAAATTCATGACTATAATGTCAGAAATCGTTTGGCCTGGGCAAGGGGGCAACGATATCATGCAGTGAATAATTACTGGAATCGAGTAATCTTCTCTGACGTGTGTAAAATTATCACTGAGGAAAACAATCATGGTTTTGTTT